ATTTCGTAGAACTCTAAGTACCATTCCAGACGCGTTAAAATCATCCTTTCTATAACTTTTCCCACACAGCTCGCGAGGTCAATCGGGCGGTAAGAGGAAATGTCCAAAGGTGACTTGCCGAGTTTGAGAAGTGGAATCAGGTGACTTGACTTCCATTCCTGTAGAACCATGCCAGTTTGCCAGGAGTCGTTGTACAGCAGCAAGAGTGCCTTCCGAGCTTGATCTCCTAGGTGACACAGAGCGCAGTAAATGATGCCGTCAGGTCCTGGCACTGAAGAACTTCTACACAAAGCGAGCGCAGCCTTTAGTTCGTCTATTGAAAACGAAATCTCCATTCGGGAATCACGTGTGGATACAGAAAAGTCAGGCGTCTTCGTCTCAGTTGAATTTGACCCGCAGGCAATCCTTCGACAGAAAGAATCTGCGGAATCAATCTCTTCGCAGCGTAAGTGAAGTGCCAGAGATTTTAATGGGTAGCGCTGAGTAATGGTTGTACGAAGACCCCGGACAGTTCTCCAGATTAGTGACAGAGGCTTTCTGGGATCCAAAAACTCGCAAAAATATACCCATCTGTAATCTCAATAAGGCCAAAGGCCAGCTTTTGTTGTGAATCATGTTGCATTTCAAGATTTACTACAGTCGATGTCCGATTTCCTGGACCCTCAAGAGACCGCGAGTGTCCGGAAAATCAGGCAGTCGGGAAAAACGATTGCAAGCGAAAACACACTTTGTATTAGGTATTTTTCCTTGACGGAGTGGTTCACGGCAGGAGTACAAGGTTCTCATTGCACTTCAGCAAATGTATTGTTTAGGTGGCTCTGAAAAGATCCGGAAGAAAGAAAAGAAAAAAATTCAATGTGGCTGGCGCTATGGGTTTTGTAAACACATAGGCGCAAAAAAAAAAAGGTTTATTTTAGTTTGCATGGCGTTCCACTTGCCCAGGATGACGTCTGCCTCAATTTCAGTGAACGTCATGCTTTCGCTGTACAACGTTAACAGTGTCAGTGCTCGCGTAATTTCTGAGCTTGTTGGCTGTGTAGGCGGTGCCTCTTTGATCTCAGTGTCGGAGTTGTTGGAATCCTCTGTAACTTGACGAATGATTTCTTTATCAGTGAAGTCCGCAGACAGCTCGAGGTCTGTGTCAACGTCGACGAAGCCCTCAAGGGTTATCCCGGCTGGAATCGACACACCGGCAATGTGCAGATCGTCGAAGGTAACGTCCGTGGGTGGAAGTTCGTCGCACACGCTGTCCATTCCAGGCAAGACGGCCATCTTGGTGTCTAGTATGAAGCTCATGGGGCAAAAACAGTTCCGGAGGGTCTTTTGCGTAACCGCCCTCCACGAGTCTACAAGAATGCAGGCGAGAGACCATAGGTCAACAGCGTAGCTTTTTCGCTGCCGGTGCAGAAGCTGCACAACACCACGCAGCCTAGCTACAGCTGGCAGCGGATTGGGCCATGCTGGATTACGGTATTTTGGTTTTGAGGTTATGGCAGTCGTGGCGCGGTGGGCTCAAGGGTCTGAAAACCAGAAAAATAGTGGCGTCGATGGTGACCTTAGAGTCTGCGGTTAGCGGTAAAAAGTCCGGAAAAATTTGATGGCTTTTAATACATTGACTCTATGGGGAACTTGATGGTAGCACAGATGAATCCTGAAAAATCAGGCATGTACGGAATTTCAGGCATCCGAAAAATAAGACGTCCGCTGTATACTTAAAACACATAAGCCGGTGTTACAAGCCTTCAACACTTTCCTGTCCACGCCTTTTCTCATCGACAGTATGTTGTCGATGGTTTTAGTTAAAATTTTATCACGTTCGCAGCGCTTACAGACAAGTGCATAAAAGGAGAACTCTTTTTCTAGTTTCGCTTTTGTGTGTCTTTTTTTGCTGCAGGGGGATGTTTAAAGCACCTTTTAATCGCGCTTGACGAGCGCTTCTAGTTTCCAACATGGCTTCTGCATTGCGCGCAGCTTTCACTCAGAAACGGCAAACTCCAATGGATTCTGGTGACTCTGCATTAGAATTTTGTGATGGTGGTAGCAGCATAGGCTCAGGAGATGACTTTTATTCATCAGACCTTAGTAGAATGGCAAAAGTTCATCAAGTAGCCCTGCAAAATCGACATGTAGTCTGCCGGTAAGTTTCATTTTTTATTCCGAACAATTTCATCGTGGCAAAGATCAAATCTAAAGATATCCGCCATGTTCTAAAGGTTGCGGTTCTTATCTGCGGAGTATTTCCGGAGCCCTCCACTACAGCGTCTCTCATAATCATATGGTGGTTTTGGGACGTTAAAGCCCACAAATCAATCAATATCTGCGGAGTGTGTCCATGTTGTTACGACAGGATCACCTGTCGGAGTCGCAAGAAAGCCGGGTGTTGACTTCGGCATTGCGCTCCGCAGGGCTGCGCGCCGTTTCATAAGAGCTGTGTACTTCTTTTTGTTGTTCTCCACAACAGAAATAATTGCAGATATATAATTGCATATTTTGGAGAAGCACTCATACGGCGAGAAAGACAGATCGCGGAAGGGAGTGGACGAGGTAAAATTTAACAGTACTATTATCATTTATACGAGTATTGTGCAAGTGTCACGCTTGCACTGCTATTGAGACGTGCACAACTTTTTGTCTGCTCTAATACCACCTTCGGTAATTCCAAGAAATTCATTCAAAGCACTACTTGCATTTCTTAGTCTGTCCGACTATCAGAAGACAACTGTTGCATCCAGTGGCAAGCTGCATTGAGTATCTACACTGCCGAAGCACATCAACGTTTGATCCGCTCAATGTTTCTGACCTGATCGGAGCCTCTCTGTTGACGAGAGAATGGTAAAATTCAAAGGTAGATCTGGAATTCAGCAGTACATGTCGGACAAAGTTGGGGATATAAATTCTATGTTTTGGCGGACTCCAAATTGAGTTGTACTGTTCAGTTCAGTGAATATACAAGGAAGCGTGAAGCGCCAAGCGCACGTGGGCTCACATCCGATGATGGGACTTTACTGGCAAAGAGATACCTGGATCAGGGCTAAATAACTTATTTCGACAACACTTACACGTCGACATGCTTGTTTGTGCTGGAGCGCAAGATGCTTGCTTGTGACGCAATGCACAAGGACTGCGAGGGCTTTCTAATCGAGCTGAAAGACACTTAGTGGGAGAAAAAAAAAGAAATCAAAGAGAGGAGTTGTTCGGTGGCTATGGGATCAGGATGTTCTATTTTTACAGAGGAAAGTCAAGCGTGTTGTTCACATGATGACAATAGCCCTTATAGCCAACAAATTCGTGCTTGCGAAGCGCACAACAAAAGTAAACGATAAATGGCAAGAAGTATCCGTGAAAAAAGGTCATACTGATTGACAAGTACTGTGTGGGCATGCTCTGGTTCGACAAATCAGACCAACAAATTGGGACCTACAATGTTTTCTAGAGTATATAAATTGCTGTTATAAACGTTTTATTTTGATGAGCACCGTCCGCAACATTCCTAGAGGCTTAATTATAGAGGGGTTCACGCTTCGATCAGTTCGCGTTTAGGCCAGAAATAATGGAGGAGCTCCTAGGACTTGATGAGCAAGAACATTCTCGTTCCAAGGCTCCTGCGGCTGTTCCTGCTACAAGTGTCTTTAAGGATGAACAGCACAAGCCTTAGAAGCTACTAAGATGCAGGAACTGATGCAACGCTTTCTGGGAGACATGCTTCACAAACTTGTGCTTCACCACATCTTGCAACTGCTTTGTGAGGTGGCATGAAAGCCACTATGGTTAACATTTTTTTTTGTACAAAATTAACTTTTACAGATAGATAGTTCATATTTGCCGTAATGTTGTATGCATTCTTCTTCTTTGAAATTTATATGTGAAATTTTTTTAGGTTGTATTGATGCAAAGCAACATCAATGTTTTACGAACTTTTCTTATGTTCTGTTACTAATTTTTTTATTAGGTATTTTTCTTCAGAACATTTTTAATAAATGTTTGCTTGCAAATAATACCATTTTCTAGCACAATTCTTTTACTGCAAATTCGTACTATTTATTGTAATATAATGCATTTGGTGTAGCAGTAAAAAAAATTGCTTATAAGACCACCCGAAAACTGCCTATTTTCCTGCAGACAAGTGAGTGTTGAATTTTTAAAAAAAAATTATGAATATATGTGAAGGTAATATGTTCATTTACTTCAAGAAAATATGTGTAGCAGTTTTTCTGTCATTTCCATTTCCTGTGTTCATTCTTTTTTTGTCTAGATATATTTTCTTGTTGCAATGCACCAACTAGCCCAAAAACGTGTGCTATTAGAAGTTCATATACCTTGGAGTGGGGTCATGTAGATTTCTCTTGAATAGGTGTTTTCACGGTTTAGCAACCCTTTAATTAAACCATTTTACAGAAGATTACACGCTTAATAGCATACATTTCATTTGTTGCTTTCCCAGCTTAGCACACCTATACTGCAGTGAAACCACTGTTACAAGGGGTTACATGCGGACTATACACCTGTTCGTTCATTTTGAATACTTCAGAATTTTGAATAATTTAATTCTCTATTGAAGCAAATTCAAATACTGTAATATTTGTTCGTATGTTCGAAGCATTCGAATGTGTGTGCACACTTTCTTTATTTACATTGCCGTTAGCACTACAGGGATGGCTAACCACCATATTAAAGAAAATGACATTGCTCTTTGGTAGCAAGAATATTTGGTGTGTCACCAAATGGAATGCCTGTATTTCTTCATTTGACCGTTGCGACAAGTCTCCAAGATTGCTTTTTACTGCTTCATCACTCTCCAAACATAAAGGGGAACAAGGTAAGAAATGAGTTTCAATTAAGTACTGTCTATAGTCTCCAGTTCTGCCACAATGTCTCCTCACGAGGACCTTGCCCATGTTAGTCACTGTGAGTGCAGAGAGTGGTCGTTTTCACTGTCCGGTCAGCGGCCTCTGGTAGAGTTTCACTGATAATTGTGCATACAATGTGCAATGCAAATGCAGAGTCCCAGTGTGCTGCCACTGCTGCTGTACGTGGTTGGCCGGAGCCACTGTCCAGCCACTCTGACCCTGCTGCTGCACTCACTCGCCGTGACGGCTTGCCACAAGGTGAGGCCACAAATGGACCTTTTTTTTGTCCGTAGTACCAACCTTTTGTCTTACGCTTTAGTAAACATCTGATGCCTATGTCAACCCATTCTGAGCACTTATTTGAAGTATTTCTATCCAAAATTTCCTGCACTTGTTGCCACTTGCTATGAATTTTCTATAAACTGGAAAATGTATGTGTGAAACCCGCAAAACAATTTTCAGCATGTCTTTTTCTTTCGCTCCGCTCCGCATTGTGAAGCAGGTCAAACTGGGTAAATTGAAAGGGGGAAAACGAATGAAGGCTGCCACGTAAGAGCAGCAAGTGGCTCAGAATACAATGATCTAACAAGTTCATTTAATATGTTTACACATGAGTGTAAAGACACTCATGGTTAAAACGTAGTTGCGATGAATCTCCAACAGAGTCTCGCAGACTAGTGTATTTGGTTCGTCCTATGCCTACCGGTTAGTGCATATCAGCTGGGCACCGTGGTAATTTTTTCTGCCATAGAAGTTCACTGCGCTGCTGAACTTTCGACGCGGCAACGTGCCGCAAATAGTTTTTAATCGTTTTGAGAAGCACAGAGATAGGCCAGTCAGTTATTCCAACTTCTGCGTGATTTGAGTGGTGCCTTCATGGGTAATCATCGGGAAAGAAAGAAGGCTGGGTGGCGACCACCCACAAATGTGCTGGTATGACTTATCGTCGACAGAAAGCCTTATCACTAGAGCTGTGCGAATAGCAAAGCTTTGAATGTGAAGCAAGTCCGCGTACTTTTCTAGTATTTCTCAAATATTTTTCAGTTTCAAAAAAAATTGTTGGGGAAAAAAAGTTAGTGAAAATTTCTAAGCATATTATTGAAATATAGCAACATAAAAGTGCTTGTTTCCCTAGGTTAATGAAGCACTGGCGGGGTGGTATTGCATAGTTGTCTTATCAAGAATGAGGTAATCCAGAGGCCGAATCATATTATTACTTAATATGATGCAATCAAGGAGTTGCAGACAACACTTTACAGGTGAAAGGCGAAGATGCTACTTCCTCAGCCTCCTCTCTTCTTTAAGCCTCTGCGAAAGCCCAAATTGTTTGGCAGACCAGGTTGTTCTTCCATCGATTTAGGAGTTCCAAATCTGCCTGGTATATATCGACATACTAAAATATTTCAAATATTGGATGCTAAAAATTTCTGGAATTCTATTTTTCAGACTTCCTTAAAGTTCAGGTTCAAAATAGGATTAGTTTAGCACTCACCTCTGCAACATCTATTATCTCCATGTAGGAACCAGTGTTCTTATGGACCAATTCGCAACTGGAGAAAATTCTCTGTCTGCTGGCAACACTGGCCGAAAAAACGAAGATGGCTTCGCCTAACAGAATAAACGTGGCACTTCCGCTTGGAGCTTCGCTGAAGTTTCTTAATTGGGGTGTCGGATCGCGATGCTTCGTCAAAGGCTATAGACTGCCTCATTTTTATCTGCATAAATGATTTCACTGGCGAAACAACTGACATAGTTGTGCTGTGCGCACAAACATCAAGCCTTCTTGGCGAACCGCATCAGATTTACTTCAAGTTAAAGAACTTGTCTTGCGAGCCTGAGGTTGAAGAAGGCAACTGCTCATGTGTGAAGAGCCTCTCTGAAAGGTGCTAGCACTTTTGTATGGAGTTGCTACACTGATACAGGCAAGGCTTTAACAGTTTCAAGGTAACTATGCTGCGACTCGTGCTGCCGATCGCATGTATCTCATTGAGCTCTTTTGTCTTGTCAAAAGCAGAATATGCATGCTGTTCACTTGATTACAGAACAGCGCTATGCCTGGGGCAGTCTATCTTGAGATAAGGCATATCGTCGTTTTGATTTATTAGAAGTGCTCCTTTCTTTTCTTTCACTGATTCATGTTACAGTGTAGACCACTTATAAAGTAACCGCTTATAGTGCAGAAGCGCTTACAATGCGGTCCAACATAACATAATATCTTCAAGACAAAATATTGTTACTAGGGTTCCACAAGGCTCAGTATTAGGTCCTCTTCTTTTTTTTTGTATATAAATGACCGACTACAAATAATCAACTGTGCAGAAATATTGATGTATGCATATGACGCATGCATTATGGTAACTGCTGATAATATTACAGAACTTAATCGGAAGGTAAATTTAGAGTTAAAAAGTATATCGGACTGGTTCCAAGGTAACAATTAACAATCAATAAAAAAACAAAAACAAAATATTTAGTCTTTCAGTCATGTTTTCAAGATAGTAGATACTGCACCTTTAAACATACCGATAAATAACATTTCGTTAGAACAGGCTGACTTTTACGAATACCTTGGAGGGATTTTTGACAAACACTTTCAATGGGAAGAACACATGAACAGCGTATGCTCTAGATTAGCGTGTGGTTGTTATGGGTTAAGATTAGCCCGTGAGTACTTTGAAATACCAGTATTGGGAGTTATGTATTTTGCTTTTATTGAAAGTCATTTGAGATATTGTATCGATTTGTGGGGATGGGCATATAAAACCTTATTGATTTCGGTTGTCAAACTCCAAAAACATGCAATTAGAATTATGTCTCATTCAAGGTATTTCGATCAAGCGGCCCCATTGTTCAACTAATATGGCATATTACCATTTGAGAGCTTGCAACAGCTGAGCATATTAATGTGCATTTATAAGGTCATGAGATTCAATCATCTATTCAGCTCATCCATATTTTTTTCATCGTCGCGCTGTACTAGAAGTGTAACTGCAGGTCATTTTAATCTTGCGCCATGTACCAATGTATACGGAGAACGTACCAACAATGTATACGGAGAACTACAGTTCACAGAAATAAAGACCTGGAACACACTCACAACGATTGTAATTAATTCGGCAAACTTTCCCAAAGTCCTGAAACAATATTTTCTTTGTTGCAGACAGAGTAAATTATAGAAGCTTTGTTAGTATTCTACAACACTGTAAATTATATACATAAATGGCTACTGGTATTTCTGTGAAATCATTGATATGCAAGTGTTATTTAATTAGATGACATATGATGAGGTTTCTGTAGTTGTTCTCATACAGTACGTATTTTTCAGGTCATCTTCAGTCATTTTTTTTTTGCTACTAACTCAAATATAATAGATTTTTGTATTTTATAGCTTCTTGATCAATGGCATTGTATCTTTTCATTTTTGCTGTATATAGTACGTATACTTTCTTCTTATAGGTACTCTATTGTATGATGCCTGTTAGTTGATATGATTATTTACAATTGATATAATCAACTGATCTTGATTTTTTGGTGTATTTGAAATATTATCATATTGAGTTTTATTTTTTTTCCTGATGTGTTAGGATATCCCTATAGGTATTCTTTTATCAGACCTTCAACTAGCCTTTCGCTATATGTCTGACAAGTGTTTGTTACCTGTAAATAGATTATGAAAATAACATTAATTCATTCATTCAAAGGTATACCTGTCAACACCAACAACTTGTTTAACGGCGTTGTGCGCAGCATTGACGCGAGCACCGGGGAAGAAGAGCTTGTAGAAAATCTTCGTGTCTGCACGCACGGAGTTCACATCGTGCGGGCCTGCATGCTCGGACAATCACAGACAGCGCTGCTACACTTTGAGGGCCTCAAATTACCTCAATTGGTGTACTTTCATGGAGGGGAGATCCCCTGTCAATACCAGCCGACAAGGCACTTCTGCCCCATCTGTCAAACTGCCAGACACAGACCAGACGTCTGCCCCAATCCAACAGCTCAAGCATGCAATGTCTGCAACACCTTCGAATTCGAGCAGCCGGTCACACCTGTGTTTCGAAGTGCGCCCTGTGCGGAGGGCCCCATCTCACAGTTGCAACAGAATGTGAAAACAAACTGAAGCGCATTCAAGCTTGGGGAAAACCTACCTCCATCACCACCTGCAAAACACAGCTTCATCTGGTCACCCAGTCGATGAAGACGGCTGCCTCTTACCAGCGATTGTTCAGCTCTGAGCAGCAGGAAAACCTCAACCCCGAAATTACTATAAATCCGCTAAGTGACCACAGATCTCTGCTAGCTTCCAGTTTGAGATCTAAGTCCCACTCACGCGTACAAGACAGGCATCAATCCCAGTCACCCAAATGACTATTAAGGTCAGGGCCCCTGCACCTGGCAGCAACCACCGCAGCACCCAATGACTACGGGTTCCCGCAGCACCAATAGAACAGGAAAGCCTCCCTCACGGAGACCATAACCAACGAAGGCAGGGTAAGCTGGACAGCAGCAGCCTCCCACTAGCATTAAATCAACAGCCTCCACCATCCACAAAATTTGAGCAGAAACTCGTGAGCATATGCACACACATACAAACACTCCCACAAGGAAACAAACAAACAGAAAGGTGAACAGGAAGAGAACTGTCTCATTCAATATGTGCGGCCTTGTTACATTATTTGGCAGAGCCAGCAAAAGGAACCAGCACGTGGGTGAATTTTTTTTGTGCGCAACACTAGCAACTTTGTGGTATTTCAAGAAGTACTAACTGAAGGTTAAAGCCATCATGGCAATTCCTGAGTATGGAACAGATGAGTTTTTGAACCTCATTTTTATTGAAGCCTCCTTGTCTTCAAAAGCACTTTCAAAGCGTAGTTCCCTGACAGTATATCAAGCTGCCTATTTTCAACAAACTGGTGTCGACACTGCTAAACCGCATTTATGTGACACATCAAGCATCATCTGAGCAGTTACCAACAGTGATGTGAGCCACTACATTTCATAGTAGAATATTTCACAGCCAAAACAGGTTAGATACGGACAGAAAAGGGTCACAGCGCTGAAAAGGAAGGAACATAGAAAGGAAACATTGACTCATCAAAACTGTGCGCATGTGCACAAGTACTACAACACAACATGATTCATGTCTTGTCTAAGACAGTTATATTCTTCATCTGAAAGAGTGATACATGGATGACTTATGCACTTGTTATTCAATCTAATGAAAAATGCTATAGCTTTTCACGTGTGCTCTGATCGAC